ACTCCGCCTTAAGGCAGAGCTATGCACTAGAGGGTTAAGAAAGAAACGAACGAACAACCACACACTCACACACAAAATAAACAAATATTTACATGAAAAATATAGCCAAAATATCTAATTATTATTTTCAATTTGGATTGGATTTAAATACTTCCAGGAACTTCCAGTGGTGCATTCGATTCCAGGAAATATTAGCAATGGCAGTAAAATTGAAATCGTTGGTCAAATGCTTCGTCCATACATAAATTACTTTAGGATTAGCTTATCTGATTCTAGCAATAGGAATGAGCATGACATAATATTCCATCTGTCCGTACGTTTTGACAAAAATGTCATTGTGCGAAACACCTTGGAAAATGGAATATGGAGTGAAGAGGAACGTTATGGTGGATGTCCAATTCAACGCGGTGACGAATTTAAAATGGTTATTTTGGTTAAACAGGACGTGTTCGAGGTTATATCATTTTTAATATTTATTGGTAGTATTAGTTAAAAATGTCGTTTTTTTTTGTAAAAATACAACATTATGCGTGTCATTACTTTGACAGTGACAATTAGTGTATCTTAAATAGCGTCAAAGAACTATCAAATTCCATCTGTCAAAGTGAACACAAGTTTATACACACAAGTTTTTTATTGTGTTCAAAATGTCGAATTTCGTTCCAACAAAAGAGCATTTGCGGGAAGTTTTAATTTGCTTCATCCATCTAAAGAAGTATGCAACTGAAGCACATCGTTTACTCACTGAAGCATATCCGGACTATGCTGTAGACATTAGAATGTGTCAGCGTTGGTTTGCACGATTTAAAAGTGGTGATTTTGACACGGAGGACAAAGAACGTCCTGGCCAGCCAAAAAAGTTTGAAGATGAAGAATTGGAGGCATTACTCGATGAATCTTCTGATCAAACGCAAGAATAACTTGCGAAATCGTTGGGAGTAAGTCAAAAAGCCATTTCCGATCGTCTAAAGGCTCTTGGATTCATTCAAAAGCAAGGAAATTGGGTACCACATGAATTGAAACCAAGAGACGTTGAAAGACGATTGTGCATGTCCGAAATGCTGCTTGAGCGCCACAAAAAGAAGTCGTTTTTGCATCGACTTGTTACCGGTGATGAAAAATGGATTAATTACGACAACCCGAAGCGCAAGAAATCATATGTGAAGCGCGGAAAACGAGCCAAATCAACGCCAAAGCAAGATATTCATTGTGCCAAGGTAATGCTCTGTATTTGGTGGGATTAGAAGGGTGTCCTCTATTATGAGCTATTAAAACCAGGTGAAACGATCACGGGAGGCCTGTACCGAACACAATTGATCCGTTTAAAGAGAGCATTGAACGAAAAACGGCCAGAATATGCGACCAGACATGAGTCCATAATTTTCCATCATGACAACGCTCGGCCTCACATTGCTCAGCCGGTTAAGAACTATTTGGAAAATAGTGGATGGGAAGTTTTGCTCCACCCGCTGTATAGCCCAGACATTGCCCCTTCTGACTATCACTTGTTTCGATCGATGCAGAATGCCTTGTCTGGAATACGCTTCACTTCAATTGAAGGTATCAAAAATTGGATTGATTCGTTCCTAGCCTCAAAAAATGAGCAGTTCTTTTGGCGCGGAATCCATATGCTGCCAGAAAGGTGGGAAGAAATCATAGATAACGATGGCCAATACTTTGAATGATATGTTATTTACAGAATTTAGTAAATAAAGTTGTATTTTTACATAAAAAACGACATTTTTAACTACTACTACCAATAAATATTTCAAATTATGTTTGTTCATGAATCACATATATTTTGTAATTTAAAAAAAAGGTTGAAATTAACGATAGGCACTTCTGTGACTTCCTTCATCGCCTTCCATTGGAATCCGCAAAATATTTGCATATCGGAGGCGATGCCAAAATTTATAGTGTCAACATTCAAAATAGCTCTCGTAAGTGAATTAGACAGAGATGTCATATATAGTCAAAATCAAGGGAATGGCATGCAATGTAAACCATCGCCATGTCTCATAAACACGCCATTTCCGTGGTCAACATTTTCAATTCTATTAACAAAATTTGTGTAAAGTGAGAATGTCCCGAAATGGAACTTTTATTATGGATTTGGGGAAAATATCGAATAAAATAAGTTACGAATATGTTGCGTATAAGAATATAAACGGAAGAATATTTGCAAATAAATCTGTATATATTGGATTTTACGCATATATGCAGCGTCTTCATCTATTTGTAGTATATTCGATAAAAAAATACTTGCGTATGAACCGTATAAACGTATAGATAATACAGAAATTCATGGTCAATATTTTTACCACAGCGGAGTTAAAAAATACATGGGCGCTTTTTCCAGTTCGGCTTTTATTTTTCCGAAATACCTATTGTATTAGGCCAAAAAAATAAAGTCACCCCAAAACATGTTTTCTATGCATATTTCATGTAGAAAACACGATTGAAGGCGATTTTGGGGCATAATAATATTACTCGTTGTGTGTGATGTGTTTTCAGCGATATTGAATAATGGGTGTAAAATGGAGGCCCTGAGCAGGAGAAAAATTGACACCTTTTTTGTTAACACGATAACTCTTTTAGCGAGCTGATTAGTTTTTGAGCAATATCTGTTGACCGGAGTAATTTTTGGTCCGAATGGAGTATCCATATCCATACATTTTTGAACCATTTTGGTGACGCGGTAGCTCCCTCCTCCAAAATTGTCAAATAAAGTCTATGAATTATTCAATACGCAACCAAAGAGATCAACATTCAAAAAGCTTTAAGCGATGATCACTTTTCTAACTTTTCATTGGTGTCTAATCATAATACTGTATTCATGAATGATCTAATGTGATCCAATGTGATATTTTTCATAGTTATTTAGTTTTTTGACTCATTGTATCCAGTGCAATTTGAAAGTATCTTAATCATATATATGTATTTATTTATTTTCTTTTATTACAAAACTGAAAATTATTTTATACTCTATTATTTAGAAGATGTGGTTTTTACTGGGGGTTTTCATGTATTTTTATTGGATGAAATTTGCATTACCGTTGCATATTGGCATATCGGTGAAATATCGGCGGAATATCGGCATATCTGTAAAATATAGTTTATATTCGGGTATTTTTTGATAATTAATTGTTCTGGAAGTAGGCTTTGGTGGATCCTTTGGATGGACCAGACCCTGGTTTGACAATGCCCTGGCTCATCCTAAGGGTCCACTTCCAGAACTGATTATCCTGAGGATCCACCAAAGCCCACTTCCAGAACACAGACACTTCGCATATCGGCCGATATCGGTGGATTTTTGGCACAAAATAGTGAAATCGGTAAAGATTTGCATTATTTGTAAAAATTTGAATTATTTGCTATACTGTTGTTTATCTGTCGAGTTCAGGAAAGAAAATCTTACATGAAAGCCCCTAGGGTTTTTGACGGAGATCAGATGTGGTATCCATCATGATTGTACCTTTACCTTTTTCCCACCAATACATGTATAAAAATTATGTACAAACACAAACTATGATTCAGCCAGTTTTTGGCGGTCAATAAACATTATATTATTTTATGTAGAATGTGTAGTGGGGTTGGTTTTGTTTCGGGAAACCCCAAACTGTTAGTTTTAAGATGCAATCACAGTTTCACAGACTTTTCATACAAAAGTTCCAAAAAATTGATTTTTGTATGGGAGCCATGTCTTTGTGGTACTGTAATGATGTGAAACTTTGCACAAGATATTTTTTTCCACAGAAGAATAACATTCTGAAAGTTCGAATATTTTAAATTTCTTTAAACTTTTGATAAGAAAATAATATTCACAAGATTTCACGGTGATTTAAGTTACTGCAACCATACATAGACCATAGTTTCAGTTTATTCCCAAAACTTCGGTTCCATGCGGAAAAGTCAGCTTGCGTACGTAAGCCTCTTTATTTTAGTAGGGTTACAGCCATAGGCGATATTTGAGTCAAAAATCTTATGATGTTAGGGATGGTGTCATAGACAGAGCCACTGTATCTTGAATTTTTGAGCGAAATTCATGATTGAAGAAAATCATAAATTTTCTCTTCAAAGACACGGGATAAACCTATCTTTTTCATGTCGTAATTAGAAAGACCGTCAAATTTTGAGTCGGTATGCATGTTTTCAGAATCGAAATTCCAAACCCGCCGTCAAATTATTTCAAAATATTTCTTAAAAAATTGTCAGTTGATTTGGCCGCGAAGACGAATGAAATGTTGATTATATTGAAAAACTAATCAGATTACTTAACTCTAGACTTAACTTTAAAGTCTTCGACATTCTTTAATTTCATTTAATTTTTATTTTGAGTTTAGCATCCAGTGAATTTTCTGGAAATCCTAAAATCGAAGGAGGTAGTTTGGTTAAAAATGAAACTATTGCTTTGGAATCTCGTATATTAATTGGTGATGAAGCAAATCGCGGTGAATTCCCATCGATGGTATGATTGATTTGTAATTTTTTTTAATTGTGGCAAATTTTAAATGATTTTTTTTTCTTTTGTGAAAAGGCTGCTATTGCTTACGACTCAAACGGTAAAATAAGTTTTGACTGTGGCGGCACTATAATATCGGAGTACTATGTAATGACAGCTGCGCATTGTTTAAGCGAAAATCATCCGCCATTATACGTTTTATTAGGAGTGGTGAGTGAAAAGCACTTCAGTGCATTTCAAATGATTAATTCAAACTATGTCTATTTTTCCAATTTCCAAAATAGCGGTATCTAAATGATACCGATAATGATGAAGTCAAAAAACATTATGTAAAGGTGAGTGGTACACACCAACTTTGAACGATTTGTACCATTCAAATGCCTGCGTTTGTGACA